CCCCCAGCACCACCCCTGCTCAGGGCATTCTGAGCTATTGTCTTTCCCTTGCAAGCCCTGCGCTGCGGGGCAGCAGGCAGGGGATGTGTGGCCAGCACAGGGCTCCTGAGGGAAAGGCAGCAGAGCAGAGTACCCCAAGCAGGGGCAGCACTGGAAGGGGAGACTGGGGGGGTTATATCCACCCCAAAATTTGCCCTAGCCCCCCCTCTCAGCACTGGTCCAGTCACTGCCACCCACCCCATGCCACTGAGCCCCCCCAATTCTGAGCCTTGCCCTGGCCCAGCCCCACACTAGAAAAAGGCTGACATTGCCCCTATCCCCAAGCCCACAGTGGGCAGCCCACCTCCAACCTGTGCACAAATCCCAGGGGGTGGGGGGGAAGGGGCACATGCCCCCCATGGGGTTGTGTGCAGTGGCAGGGAGCCACACCCTCCCCACTGCCCTTGGATAAGCTGCCCATGGGTCTGTCCCGCTCCCGGCCCCAGGGTCACATTCACCACCCTGGCTGAGCAGTGTCTTCGCATGCCCCACTCCCTCCCTCATCATGGAGCCTTGATCTGCGCTCCCATACCCCTTCCCTCCTCCATAACCCATTCCCCCTACAGACTTACCTGCAGGGCACTGCTCTCCAAGCTGCTAGGCTGCACTGCTGTGAATTAGCTATTGGGTAGGTAACAGCCGATATGGCTGGTTAATAATAGGCTACCGGTATCAGCCAAGAAAATCTTTATCGGTGCACCCCTAGTTCTCTTCTTTATGACACAGTACTTTCATGAAACTTATTATTCTGAACCCAAGACAGGCCAACATAGAAGCAACTTTGGAAACCCCAACATAGGCACATAAAGGACTGTCAAAGAGCTCCCTTTTTCACCCCGCCTCAACTATCTGTCCAATTATTCTTCTATATGTCCATCACCATTTAACCGATTGCCTTCTAGTTATGAGGCAGTAGCAGATTTGTTGAACTGCCCAAGTGTGACCTGTTACTGATAAAAAAAAATTCTTCAGTTTTAGATAATGAGCAATTACTACAACTTAGCACCCAACTGCCATGTAATTGATTTGTAGGTTGGTTTGACTGCTCTTTATATATGTGAATAAATTCAGAATGTTTGAGTCAAAGAATTTGTTTTGTTTTGTGGCAAGATCAAGCCATAAAGAACATTAGGAATACTTTTTTTCCTATTTATACAAAGTTTGTTTTTGGTGTGTTTGCACTTCCAGGCCCCACAGTATTAGGGCCTGCTTGTGCCAGATTCTGTACAAACAAGGAAGACATTGTCTTTTCCCTGAACGGCTTTTTAATAATCACTTGGGGTGAAACTCAACAGGCAAAAAACAAAAAGACAGAAACAGGGTGAAGGCAAGAAGTAGTAAATAGCCATGTATTAACTTCCTGTTTTCCAAGAACTTATATTCTGTTTTTAATTTACATAATAAGCAATCTCTACTTTAACTTATCTACTCTAAGCCAAAAATACATATGTGCATATTGTTGGTGTGCCAGAACATCCTAGTCACTTCCTAACTTAAAATCAGACTGTACTATTGCTTTCCCAGTACTTCCAATATCATTCACTAGCTTGCGAAATTCTCCCACAAACAGTTTTGTCCCTCATCTGAAGTAACAAGTTTTATGCAGCTTCCCTGAACTCATCAGCAAAGTCTCAATCCTTCCACTGAGAGGTACTTTTGCTGTGCTGCCTACACTGAACCAAGTTAAATTTTATATGTATATATTATATCAGGGGTTTTCAACCTTTTTGGGTCAGTGTACCCCCAGTGGCTGGACACAGAGCAGAGTACCCCTGGCAGCAGAACAGGGAGAGGGGGTGGCATATGGCTGAACACAGAATGGGCAACCTTCCCCTGCCCCATGCATCTAGCCAGGCAGGCAGCGCCTGCACAGGATGGTATGTGGCGGCACTCCGCCTCCACCTGCCTGTACCCCCTAGGGCCTTTTTGCATACCCCCAGTTCATAACCCCTGGATTATATGCATTATCTTTAATTAATCCACTGACCTGTACACTAGTCACTTGTCTTAAACTGAGAGCTTCCCTACTCCTGGAAAATCACGTAGTATCTCCAGCAAATTAACTCATTACGGTCTGAACATTAGTAGCAGAATTATACTACATACCTTGCCTTGCTGCATAGAACAGTCCACACATCCCACTTGAATATTTCCATGTTTTGCTCCAGGGATTATTTGTAATCTTTCAAAATCAGTCCCCAATACCACAATATCACATCCTGACGCATAAACCTACAAAAAGAAAAACAGAATGAGTTACATCAAACCTTAAGTTACTTCAGAATTCAGTGGTGAGTCTATTACAAATGAGCAGGATAGTTTAGGTATCCCCATTAAGATCTAGCTTTAAAGAGGCTTTCCTTGATTCATCATCATGTATATAGACTTACAATCATCATAGTGACCATGAGAGTATCTCTGGCCCAAGAAGCCTACTCTAACATAGTAGCAGAATTCAATTTAGAACAGTCAAGACATAAGCAGGAGACACCGAAAGCAACATATGACAATTTTTAGAAGAGGATTTTTTTCTTTGTTAAAAAAAATAAAAGGAAAAGGTTGCAGAACAACAAACACAAATTGAGGGACCAACTAGAAAACAGGACGCAGAAAAACAAGCAGAGATGGAGATGTGAAAAGCCTTTAAAAGGAAGGCAAGCTTTCTTTGGGCAGATGTGATATCACATCTGCCCAAAGAAGCTTGTCTGCCAATGTCCTTAGACCAAGACGGCTACAACCAAACCCCCTTTAAAATTAAGATTTGTTTTAATATAGGTGAAGGAAAGGAACAAAGATGTCAGAGAAAGATACCACAGAAAAACCTTGATATTTTGCAGAGCAGCTTCCACCCTAAAAAGATGAGGGTTTGAAAAGTAATCCAGGGGTACGCAGAGCTGCAGTTAACCATTATGCAGAACAGCTTAAGTGCGCCAGCTGATTGTGCTGGCCATAGGAGATGCATGGGAGGGGCACGGGGAGGCACATGTGCCCCCTGAGAGCACTGGTATCCACCCTGACAGCATGCGCTCCAGCTGGTAAGGGAGCACGGAGAGCGCTCGTGTCCCCCCTGAATTTGGCTTCGATGCTGGCTGGCCACTGGGGGACCACCCCCGGTCATGCCCTGCTGGTGCCCCCCCAGACTCAGGAGGCACCAGTTGCCCATGGTGCCGGCTTTTATTTTAAGGAGAAGCTCCAGCTGAGCAAGGAATCAGTACTCTTTGAAGTAAAAGCTGCAACAAGGATCATAGGAAAATAGGAATGGGAAGGCCCTCACAAGGTCATCTAGTCCAGAGGTTCTCAAACTGTGGTCTGCAGCCCACCATTGGTCCATGAGCTACGTTCAGGTGGTCTGCAGAAAGGTTGCTGAACAAATCGAGACTATCTGTACTTGTAAGGTAAGACTACTGATATTAAAATACGAGTTGTGTGCTTTGATTTGTAGAACAAAAAAAAAAAAAA